ATGGCTTGATCAGTTTCATCCATCATCTGGTTTCCCCTATCCATTAGCTGTTGATTTGTCATAGCTGCAGAACATACAGGCTCTGTTTCAGAAACAGTTTAAAATTGAAGCAAAATATGACACCTACACCTTATTTCCAAGCAACATTCCAACATCATCCAACAATTAATGTGAAGGAGTCAGAACCAATATGCAGAGTGCATTGACTTAAAAGTACAAAAACAAACAGGTTCACTTCATTTCTAAGGTGCAAGATAATGTCAAATCAAGTGATCAGGGTTTCTTTGTCAAGCCTCTTATCCTTCTTAGACTGAGTGTGTTTAACAACATATATTCTAGCAATGGAACAGCAAAAACTTAGTTTCACATCTTACAACTAACTACCACTAGATAATCACTCTAAAATACATGAGAAATTCAAAATTGTTATGGCCACACTTAAAGAGTAAAAAGAAAATTAAAAGAGACAATATTTTGTGCAAGTGAGTTTGTGCATATGTGTATACTGTCAATGTCAGAAGAGAACACTGATTACGGAAGAGTGATGTCTACCAATGTCACTATTTATACACAAAAATTCAACTTGAACTTCCACATAAACAAATCAGCTAAAATCAGAAAAGTTGATGTACTTACATGAAGCTAGCAAGACATTTTCTTCTCCAAAACCTTCGTTAGGCCCATCAAAGAGATCAACTCGTTTGTTGTTCTCAAGATTGCTTTGATGTCTGTCACAGAATGACAACTATGTCAAACCAAGCCAAATTATACATCAATATAATGAAACAGAACTTTAACATATAACTAGTGCTTATTGATACCAAGATAAATTATTATTGCATGATATTTATAGTAATTTCCTTAACAAATTACCAGTTTTCAATCGATGATAACTTTAGTTTACAGGCACCAGATCACAAGGATGACCAAAAAGAAAAGGTTAAAAGGAAAAGAAGAGAGAATTGGGAGGGGGATGGAGGCAGGGGCATGTAACCTTGAAAATGCATACGGGTTAGAAATGATTCATAACTAGTAAGAGCATGAACATGCATGCAGCAATCTCTTCATGCCACAAGAAGCAAAATGGATAACTTCTAATGGATATAAACTTACTGCTTTTTAAGCGCAACATATGAATTCAACTCCTTGATCTGCATGAGAATCACATAAGATTGAGACAAGTTTGACCACAAGATACTCAAATGAAAAGTTAGAGCATCTGACTAAAAGAACATAAAAAATCAAATAAAACTTAAAAGTTATAAAGCACCATTGACTGTTTCTTTTCGTTCAGCATTCTGTTGGTGTTTGGATCAATTCTACTCTCCATTTCCTTCACTTCTCTATCAAACTCTTTGATGAGCCTGAAAAGGAGAAGTAGATAATATTTTGATTCAGTCCAATGGAAAAACAGTTTCAATAACAACTTACCAGCAACAGCATAGCAGAGTACCAAGCACAATTTCTTAGAACCTCAATTCTTAGTGAAGAGATCAACATAAGAACATATGGGTGCTCTACTTCAGACTTTTTTCATTTTAAAATGAATGACCAAAGCATTCTAATTCCAATTTATTCAAAGTAAGGAAAACAAAAAGGATAACTTTCAAGGAAGGATCAATCTGGAAATACCTTTTACATTCCCGCATCTTGTCAGTAAGCTCTTCCAATTGCCTACTCTGCCTATTAACATCCTTAACCTTCTCCAGTTTCTGGAATCCATTTCTGCAAAGACAACCCAACAACATTTTAATAGAAATGTAGAAAAATTCGCAATCACTATGAAATCAGTATCCTAAGCTCAAGCTACTTCGAATAGAGTCATAAATTATTACAAAAATAGCATTTATGAGAAAAAAAATTCAGTTTTTTAACGCAAAGAAATAACAGAAAGCAATATATATAAGAACAATCTGATTGGAATCTACATTACATAAACGACAAAAAAAAAAGATAAGAATTTAAATTCTTACGATAAAGCTCGAAAAATGTCGGCGATTTGTCCATCGATCTCAGCTAGCTCTTCGCTGACCGCAGCCAAAGGGTCCATCTTTCAACCTTCAATGTAACCAGCTATCTTCTGTCTTTAGTTCAGTCTTCACGCATTAAATGAATTCCCCGAGCATAAATAAAGGAGAAATTTGATTTTTTTTTAGCTGTTTATTGACAGGAATGACGATTCAAAGACACGATCGCCAAAACACCAAAACAGAAGATTCAAAATCTGGACCAGATCAGATCCGTACGATTTACAAGAACTGAAAATCGAATCTTCAAATAGAATTCCAAATGGGAACAATGCTGAGCCAATGGCTAGTAAATTCTCCTCCAAAAGAAAACAAGAGGCGAATCTTGAATTCCCGATCCAAAAAGCAAAACAACTCTCGAACTTTCCCAAAGAAATGAGCGAGATCTCAAAACGGATTTCAAATGCGGATCAAATGAAAAGGAAAGAAAGAAATTACGCCATTCGAAATCCAATTCCGTACAATGTGAAGCCCTTTTTATTTCTGGAATGGATCGGCGAAGACAGAAAGGGAAGGTTCTTTTAACGTTTGATAATGGTGCCCCCCGATCTGAAAGAGCTTATCAGACAAGTCAATGTCTTCTCGTGATTTACAGACAATTTTGGTTTTTATTTTATTTTCATTTTAGATTTTTTTTTTTTCTGTTGCTTGGCGATGTGATGTGGCTTCTGTTTTGGGAGGGGTTTTGCCCCGGAGGGTGAAGGTTTAAAAAATATCCGCTAATTTAGGCAGTTTAAATCCGGAAATTAGGGACTCAGGAGTGGGGGCCCACCACCGATGGGTTTTCTTCCGGTGTATTCAGAAAAACGGTTGTTAGCGTCTGATCAGATAATCCTGGCCGTTTGATGATGTAAAAATGATAAATGGGCTACCCATAAAAATTACCCAATATTCTTGTGTAAAGATTGGGCCTGGGCCATGATTTTTACTTGGTCTAGATTGGATTGGATCTAGACCCGATTGTCCTGACTCGTTGATGTTCAAGTTTCTATAAAAGCCGAACAAGAAAACCCTAATTCGTCTTTGTTGCTTTCTCACAAAGAGCCGCTCTTCCACTTCCGAGACCATACAGAGATCGTCCGACCCTAACCACAATGGTACTATCTTCTTTCTTTCTGGGAACGCAATTTTCTTTTGACATTTGCGTATATTTATGGACGTGTTTGTTTCCTGGGAAAATTATTTTTTCTTCTTGCAAAAATTGTTTCTGTTAAAGTAGTTGGTTAGCTAAACAAGAAATTTTATATAATCGCTTTTTTATAACTAAATAGAAGATTATGCTTTAGTTATGTTGTTGGTCGTTGAAGGGTTCAGCTGTGGTATCATGTTTTAACTTCGAAATTTCATTTCTTATGCAACGAAGAAGCAATTGGAAATGACATAGGAAGTCAAACAATCTTATCACAAAAATTTTGGGTAAAAAAGTTTGTGGATTAGCCATAAGTTTTGCTTAATGTCAATTTCAGTTGCTTATTCTGATCTTTTTATTATTATTATTATTATTATTATTATGCATCAAAAGGCTAGTGTGGTAGAAAAGAAATTAGATTGGCTTAGTTATTGTCTCTTAATGGGTTTTTCTGGAGAATTGAATGGGGAGTTGGGTCAGTGGGCATTGTGACTTTGTTAGGTTTTTTATGTTGTTTTTTGTTGCAATTCATTAACTCCATTCTTTTGCTGATGGTTCAGACAAAGAGAACGAAGAAGGCCGGAATTGTTGGAAAATATGGTAGGTGCCACTTAATTTAATAAATCCCTACCTTGTTATTTTCGCTTAGAGAGAGTTTCTAAGTAGATTGTATCCGTAGTGTATAAATGATCAGTAACCATAAAAGCGTCTTGGAAATGACCTTTCTAATTTGTGTCCAAATTGATCCAAGTTTTTAATTGATGTAACTTTTTCTTAAAGTTTCTGAAGGTTTTAATCAATGTAACTAAATTAAAATAGAAGTTTGGCTTTTTAAAGTCTGAAGTTTCTGATTCCTTGATTTGCCTTGTAATGAAGGTACCCGTTATGGTGCCAGTTTGAGGAAGCAAATTAAGAAGATGGAGGTCAGTCAACACAGCAAGTACTTCTGCGAGTTCTGTGGAAAGGTAGGATGCTTCTGATTATCTGTTTGATCCTTTAGCTCCTGAGGTTTCATTGTTGTTTTTCTGTTTTTGTTTGTGCTCTTGTCTATCTTAGTTGCATGCATTTGTTCTAAGAAACTTTGCTGCTACAGTATGCAGTGAAGAGAAAGGCTGTGGGAATCTGGGGCTGCAAGGATTGTGGCAAAGTCAAAGCAGGCGGTGCTTATACTTTGAAGTATTGATCCATAAACTCCCTATTCGCACTTTAATTTCTTTTCTTTGGAATTCTGTGTAACTAACTAGTTGTTGCATTTGTTATTGAACAGCACTGCTAGCGCTGTGACAGTGAGGAGTACTATTAGGAGGCTGAGGGAGCAAACTGAGAGCTGAGCCACCATTGGCATAATATTCTACTTTCATAGGATGTTTTGCATGTTTTAGCTACAAACTTAATCAGATCTTTTTTGTCAATGATGAGCTACCATTAATTTTCAATTTTCTATCAGAGCCTGGTGTTGGATGTAGGTCATCAAGACTTCATTTAAGTTCGAATATGTAGTTGTTTGTTTCATCATTATCATGTTAATTTTCGTCAAATCAAGCTGTGTGGTCTTCTTGACTCTTGTTCTTGCCTATTCTTGGTGTTATGCTGCTATTACACATGTTTTTTATTCATTTTTATGGCTGTCGAAACTTCCCTATTAGTTAATCTCTAGCATAGAATCTTACTGTTTTCAAAGTTCCAAGAGTGGTGTCATCCATACTGATATATGATTATTGATCATCATTCCAAAAATGTTTGGGCTATTGCCATTTCATATCTTGATCGAACGGAAAAGTATTTTTACCTTTCCCATCGAACAAGAAAAAAGAGGGAAATTGCGTGCAATGGAGCCCAAGAGATGGTGTTTAACATCTTCACTTAGTTATTCTCATTAAACATGGCCGGACTGGACAGTTTTATCCAGACTTCCAGGATATTGAAATACAACTAATTACACTTACAAGAAGAAAAAGAGACAAGCAGTACCAGGCTCTTTGGGCACCTTAGTGACATCCTTCACTCAACCTCAACCTTTATGCATTAACTGAAGCCATTAAAGAGAAAAAAAAAAAAAGACAAAGGGAGGCCCGTTTCTTGCTCCATGATCAGCCATCTTCTTGGATGACTGAACGTGGTTCCAAGCAGGTACCTTGCTGTCGTCATTCGTTATACTGGGATGGAATAACGAACAATATCAAAAATTAAAGTGAACGGCTAAAGAAAGACGCCATATATTGAATTCATAACCAAAGCATCATTCTGGAGTCCTATATTAGACAATTGCAGTTGGTGGGTCATCACCGTTAGAATGATGCATTCGTTTTTGGACAGCTTTCACAGCCACCACTCTGGCAGCATTGGCTGCTTTGTTTGCAGCTGAGACAGCTCTATTCACTCTCTCATCAATCTTTGCAATGCCATAAGCTTTCTCCGCGGCTCGCCGTGCTTCCTGTATACAAGACAGCAAATTATAAGAGAACTCATAGTGGCTCTTTTCTTTTGTGGAAAGGCCATAAGGTAGAAGTTATCTTTGGCACTATAAGTTATAAATTTTAGCATTCAAGTAAATTTTCATTGAATTCTCAGGATTACTTGCAGAAAGTTTTTATGCAAAGAGCAAAGGAATGATGTATCAACTGTTAGTGAATGCAGATAGATGCCAGACAATGACATGAACAATACCTGGACAGCATTAAGGACTCTGGATTGAGTGACGGCATAGGGAGATCCAAGATGGGTGTTTTGTGCACTATGAACATCAAGAACCCCATCTTGCCAGTGACCAGATTGAGTCTCACCATTTCTGAAAGTGTATGTACCAAATCCCTGCCTTCTTCCCTCATGCCAGGCTCCCTCATACCGGTGTCCATTTCCAAATTGATAAACACCAAAGCCATGCATCTTGTCTGCAAAATATTCCCCAGAATATATATCCCCATTTCTGGATTTTGAATCACAAAATTAACCAGTCATTAAAACTGAAGAAATCTACATCCTAGGTAGATGGTTGTATCCCACAATTGCCCAATGAATGATGACTCTAAGTTCCAGAGTTATGTTCAAACCAGTTTGAAAATTCCAAACAAGTAAAGAATAATCTGCTATTAAAGTACTCCCCACAAGGAAGCCATTTGGTGAATCTTGAAGAGATGATTTATTATCAACAATATCAACATTCAAGGCCTGGACATGTATCAAAAATGACAGCGAAAGTATATGTATAAGAAACTATATGGAATGTGAAGCACAATGAAGAAACCAATAAAAATCAAAGAGACAACTATAAAACCAACAGCTGCAATTCAATCTTGGTGACAGAGTTCTTTATACAACAACAAACAAACTGCCCAGAATGCTAGTGATATATACGAACAATGGTTAAAGGAATCCGAAACCAGTCTTCCACTCACTGAGTTTAAAACTATCAAAATTACTTTACATATAACAGGATTAAAGAGAAACATAAGAGGAAAGTCCAGAGCTCAAAACTCAACAGCACTTTGAACCCTGTTCTGCAACTTAACCAGATAAGTAGTAGTTCAATGATCTAAAATAAGAAGTCTATTCTATATCTACAGCCTGAAACTAAAAGAATAAATACTGTGAGATGTAACCATCGAAACACAAGAACAACAGGAGCTAACTATCAGTTTCAAAATCTATAATTAGAATTTAGAACAAAGAATACCAGATCCAAAGACTCCAAAATTATTGAAGATAGCACAATAGAAACACATCAATCCTTCCCCACATTCAACAATCAAACATATACAAGCCAGAGTAATATGAAAATCTAAATTATCTTTCTTCGTTTAATTTATCCAAAGAAGAAAGTTCAAAAATTCACCTGAAATAATAATGACCCAGCCCATGCTTTACACCCCACTTGAACTCTCCCACATACTTGCTGCCATCCTCACATGTATGTACTCCACATCCATGACACTGCCCATTAGACCACTCCCCAGCATAAATATCACCAGTGTAAAACCTATACACCCCAATTCCATGCCTCAATCCCTGCCGATATTGACCGCGAAATCGGCTCCCTTTTGCCCATGTTTCCACACCATAACCATCATATTTCCCATCAATCCAATCCCCCTCAAACCTACCTTTCATATAATAATAATAAACCCCACTTCCTGAACATTTCCCTTTATGAAATTCACCCTCATATACATCCCCATTACTGTAAGCCTGCACCCAAGTCCCCGAATTCACCTTCTTCTCCGATTTTGGTTTTGACCCAATCGACCAAACAACAACTTTTGAAGATTTAGAAGATGAACCAAGTTGACTAAACTTAGCAGGTAATGAACGAGCAAGAAGTAACCTTATTGAAGGCAAGCGAGGGAGTGCAAATTGAGGGAAACCATAAGGGTAAGCGAAAAAGCAATCAAAGCAAGAAGATTTAACAAAAAAAACCGACGAGGATTGGAGACCAAGAAGTAAAGTGAAGGAAGAGAAAGCAAAACAAGAAAACGTAAGTGGAAACAAAGCAAACGCCCACGGTTCAGATGATGAACAAGTTTCCTACCAAGCCGTTGAGTATCAAATGGAATAGCAAAATAAGCAGAACAAGAAAAAGATTGGAAAGCGAAGAATTTGAGGCTAATTTCTCAACCTTTTTGCGGTCGTTATGGTGGTTCTTGAAAGAAGAAAGAGTCGGGGAATGAGAACGAGAATTTTGGGTCATGATGGGCCTCTTGTGGGGAGTTGAGAGAAGGGCATGAGTTGGAGAAAGGTTACTGAAGGAGGGTTCATGATGGTGAAAGTTGGGGTTTTTATGATGATGGGTTGTTGCTGTTGGTGGTGGTGATGGGTTTGGTGATGTGGGTGGGATTTGGATGGTGAGATGAGGCTTGTTTGGAATGGAAAAATCAGGACCTTTTTGCGGACTTGATTCAAGGTAGTTCTGATTGAATTGGGAGTATAAGAGATGTGGGTAAATGGTTTGGTCGAAATCGGAAGAGATGCAGCTGCTGCTTACTTTTCCGATCCCTTGCTGTTTGCCAGATTTCTTCTGATGCATTTACATAAAGAAATCTCCCCTCCACTGTCTGACTGAATCTTCTCTCTCGGTGTTATAATTGTAAGTCAAAGTGTTGCTTGAAGACCATTTCCACAATGTTTTCTGTCTGTCTGTGTGTTTGTTTGTTGTGTTCTAATTCTGGGTTTGGGTTTGGGTTTTGGTTTTGGTTTTGGCTCTCTGGTTTTGATGTCTGCTTTTCGTTCAGGGAGATAACCAGCTTGGGGAAGCAACATACATTTGTTGGTTGTCAGGGTGTGTCTTTGTCAAAACACCCTGCTCTTGTTTATATTTTCTTAAATGCCACTGCCCCATTTTTCCTCTCCCTCGTATCTGAGAGAAAAACAAATATAACAAACCAGATGGATTTGGTCAATTGTGTTTTATAATTATTATTTAATTAAGAGCATATTCTAAAAAGATGACATAATCTGTTGATAATCATTATAAAGGGAAAAGCAAGAAAAAAAAAGACACAAACTAAATAATTATAAGACTTTCAACTCATGTTTACAACATCTTCCACTAACTTCAATATATTAGTTAAGCTTAAATAAAATATGAATTAATAATTGAAAATAATGACTACATGCCAGCCAAAAGATGGACATCAAACATCAACAAATGCACCAATACCCTTTTAAAATGTTAATCAAAAGGAAAAATTTTGAAGAGAAACAAAATTAAACAAATACATGGAACCCATTTTGTTTTATTTGAACTTTACTCACAAAAACTTGATTATGTAAACTACTAAAATATATAAGTTTCACTTATTGTTTGAAATCTGTTAAAATCGAAAGTTTATTGACGAAAAATGTTTTTCATCAATACAAAACATTTTCATTATGAATTATATATTACAAGTTTATTGTATATGAAAAAATTTATTATTATTGTGAAATTTTTTTAAAATTATGAATTTACATTTATAAACGTGTGATAATTTTTTTTAAAAATTAAATATTTTATAATTTTATATGTTTATAATTCTTTTCAACATCAAAAACTTTATTTTTGTTGTAAAAACTTATTAAAATTGATAATTTCTGTTGTGACACATGTTATAAATATATTTTTATTTATGTATTATACCAATTCAATTACTAGTTAATGATTTTACTTTTATGAAGAAAAAGAAAGTGAAAACCCTCGATGGAGAAGGAATAGGCAATTTTGTAAATTTGGGAGGAATTAGGGGTAATAACATGGGGAAGTGCGCATAAGTTTTCCTTTGATATTCAGTGGTGGCTTAGCCCCATCTCCGAACTTGGCTACAGAGAAACGTTCAAAAACGGAAACTCCGGTTAACGGTCAACCATCTCATCTGCCCATGTGGCTTCCTACTTTATTCCACGTGGCAGATTCTTTCTCTCTTTTTTATTTTCTTTTATAATCTCTCTTGGCAAATTACTGAATTCGCCACTCACTTTTTCTTCTTCTTCAATTTCCCTCCTTTTGGTGCTTCATTCTTTCTTCCCTCAATTATAAAACTTTTGTAAATTAAATGCTATATAAGATAGTTTTGGATAAGTTGCATAACTTTTTATTAAAAAATTTTAAATTTTAAATTTTAAATTAAGTGTCAGCAAAAATACATAAAGTAAGCTATAAATAAAAAAATATTTTTTGACAGCAACTTTTTATAAACACTTTATTATATAAAAATTTATCTTAATACCAATTTTCAAATTATTAACGATTAACATCATCAATGTTAAAATACAAATACTTTAATTAATACATATAAAAAAATCTTTGTAATTATTATATATTATACGACTATTTAATCATAATCATAAATAATAAGAACATAAATTATTCATATCAAATATTCGTGATTAATTTTTGTAAAATTTGTATTGCATTACTTATTGGAGTAAGTTGCTATTGAAAAGTAGTTTTCCCCATGTGATCCAAAATGATTAAAAATACAATGTGATAGCAACAATTGCTTCTAAAAGTAAAATGTTGGACCCAATTTTTCTTAAGAGAATATCAACGCTAAGAAGGCCTAGCTTTTAAAGCATTTCTCATAAGACGAGAGAGAGGATATTTCACCAAGTTCCCTCGAATGGATATCACGTGCCCTCCACCACAATGCACATGCTGTTGCTTAAAGCAGATGCCATTAACCCTAAAGTTTGGACCACTTGAATATATATATATATATATATATATATATAGAAAACAAGCTGTCTCTGTTAATTTTATTTTCTTTTTCTTTTTCTTTTTTGCTTCTAGCTGTGCTTCCAATCCTTGATTTTGTTATCCTAAAGTTTAAAAAATTACCATACATAGGTTAATGGTTTTGGTGTTAAAATATCTTAATTTTGGGTCAAAAAGGAAAATATTTCCTTGGGACATTTCTTCGTGGAGGCTAAAACATATAATTTTTCGATACAATGTATTCAAAAACTAATTAACAATATGCCACCCCAATTATTATGTTATTAAAATGAAAAACCTTGACCCTTATTAAGAAAGGAAATTAGGTATGTTTATCTTAATGTTCCTTTGTCAGGCTACAAACATGTGCTGATCTTATACAAAATTCATATATTCTATGAATTGTCTGAGCCCAAGAAATTCGAAAAGAACTCCAACACTCAAAGAATTCATAATTTTTTTTTTTCATTTGAAGAAGTTATATAATCTGTAATTCAATTAAATACAGAGAGTAAGCTTGTTAAACAATATATGATAACTGTTGTGAGGTGGTTTGTAACTGTCGGAACTAGACAACAGCATACCTATGAATATTTATTCATAGTTTGCTAGTCAGAGAAATTGGAGGTGAAGCCTCCACATCCATGACAAAGCAACGGCGTGGCGTGGCCTTGCTTTGTTCTTATCCACGTACGCCCACAGCTTCGCTTTGCACATTTGCATCTCCTCTCCTTTTCATGGCCTTCCATGAAGCCCATGCTATTGTCGATTTCCATCCACTATCCTATCTGTTTGGATATCTTATTATTATTTTTTTTTATGGAGATATTTTAACAATTAAGATTTGGGTTTTAATTTAAAATTCTCAACTTCAAATTCTTAGAGCGAGAGAAGTGAGATGAAATTCATAAGATGATCAAAGGGATTAGATTTATGAAATATGAGAAGAGTACCTTTTATTATGTAATCCTATATTACATGCATAAAAAATTACAACTAATTTAAATATGAAAATACTCTCATTCTTTAAATTTTATCTATAAACATGTAAAAATAAGAGTGATTTCCATCAAAGAAAAGAGTCTTATTGATTTTTTGTATGGGGTTGGGAATGAGACAAGGAACACAAAACTACAAAATGTGAGAAGAGGATGGAGATGTGATCAAGGAATTGATAACCAAGAACAAAACCAAAGGTCTTGAAATTTCGTTTCATTTTCATAAAGATATAGCCATATAAGGATAAAACCCTATTTAAACTTGATGGTGAAAGTTTGGGAGATCAGACAAGTGGTATTATATCATCATGTGAGACTTTGCCATATGGATCATCTAGATTCGGTTTACACGACCATGCCATCTAGTCCATTTAATCAATTATGCCATGTCTACATCTGAAGAAGGGGACAAACCGATCATGATTCATGAATCTACGTCTGGTAATCACTAGCTTAGAATCTAAGATTAATTTACAGTAATTAATTAGGAGACCTTGTCAAAATTGGGGGTCCTTATCATCAATTAGATAAAGGGCTGAAGGAAAAGTTGATGAGCCTTGAGTAGAAAGCAAACTCTTGCCGAAAAGTTAGAATTTTTATCTTCACTTTTGAAAAGGATAGCAATTGATTTCATTACATTATGTTCACCCTCATATTTGGTTACTTAGGAAAAGTTTAGGTCAATACCAAAATGATTCACTTGGAGGAAGATCTTATAAGCCTTAGCCTATTTGGAGTCAAATTCTTTCTTTCATTCTTTAAAATACTAGAAATTTGTAGGAGAAGAATGTAATTTGCTTTTCCTTTGGGTCTAAAAGCCCTAAAGGGAATAAATCTTACATGTAGTTAGTAAATAGTAAATAGTAAATCCTCATCACATTATTTTGTACTTGTAAAAATGGAAAATGAGGGTGTGAGATGGACTGGGAGGAGAGAAGAGAAGGGTATATCAAAAAAATCCAAATACCTTTAGGAAGTAGAAATTGAATTGCTGTTGCACTTTAGGCCTGCATGCATTTATATAGAGGCTCCACTCTTTTTGTGCGTGCGCGGAGGCAATGGGCTGCCATCATTAGCTGCATCAGGAGCAGTGGCAAATAAGCACAAAGCTAAGCTCATTAGAGGACATGGGTTTGGGGACTGTTGGGGACAATATCCAACCATATGTATAAACAAAAGACGTATGGGCTTTGGTCTGTCCTTTGCCAAGCATATGTGCTCTTCCGGACGCCAATCTTCATATAATAAAATTATTGCTTTGGGGAAAAAAAGGAAGAGAAATATACTTAACAAAACAATGACTGAAATGGCCTGAGTTAGTGCCACGCCAGGGTCACTGCTCCAACATTGAAGAACTGTGGGCCTCTCTGTTCTGATGAAGTCCTTACAAGCCCAAAATGGCCTGTACCCCCTTCTTCGCTTTTTGTCTTAATTGGATAACATCAGATCTAGTACACACAGCCCAGACCCGTTTGTTTGAACGCATTTTGACAATTATTGGCATTAATCCCCAGGGCCCAGGTTAAGCTTAAGCTTTTGAATCTCCCTAGTGTATGCCTTCTTTATGACACAAGTAGTTACCCTAACTATGTTTTCGAAGTAAAAATGGGAAAACACTTGCAAGTAGGGGTTTCAAATGCTGCTGTAAGAGCACATTGGCAGGGTCAACTTGTGCCTGCATTCCACTCTTGGTGTCTTTTTTCTCTTGCTTTTATGTACTCAATAAGACAATAGGGGAGAAGAGTTAAACATCACCATAAAGAAAAAGCTTAATCCAAGAGTGCATTTCTTTCCTCTTTCGATCTCCATACTTCTTTTTTTTCTGTGTAACTAAACTATGTGAAACACAAGCAAAATAAAAGAAAAATCATACAAGTTTAAACCCTCTAAGAAGAGAGAATGTAATATAAGGGCAAATATCTGTAATGTGTTACAAATGTAAGAACCGGATAGCGAGTAAATTGTTACAAAAAAGAATATGCTGTGAGGAATATATATATGGGGCAATTGATCCACTAAGTGAATGCCGAGAACATATATAATATACTGTGAGTACAAG